CCATACCTCACACCTCCCCACACCTCACACCTCCATCATACCACACCTCCCTCATATCTCATACCTCACACCTCCCTCTTACCACATACCTCACACCTCCCTCTTACCACATACCTCACACCTCCCTCTTACCACATACCTCACACCTCCCTCTTACCACATACCTCACACCTCCCTCATACATTACACTTTCCCCATATCCCATACGTTCTCATGCTGTCCTACCCTTACCTAGCCTTCCTGAACCTAACCTAACCTAGCCTACCTGAACCTAACCTAGCCTACCTGAACCTAACCTAACCTACCTGAACCTAACCTGCCTAAACCTAACCTAACCTTGCCTACCTGAACCTAACCTAACCTGCCTGAACCTAACCTAACCTACCAGAACTTAACCTAACCTAGCCTACCTGAACCCAACCTAACCTAGATTAACTGAACCTAACCTAACCTATTCTACCTGAACCTAACCTATTCTACCTGAACCTAACCTAACCTAACCTAGATTGACTGAACCTAACCTAACCGAAACTAACCTGACCTAACTTGCCCATAACCCAACTTAACTAATCCTTAACCTACCCTGAAAAACGAAACCTAACCTACCCATACTTTAACCTAACTTAAATTACCCATAACCTACCTCGACGTACTCCAAACCTAGCTTACATTAACTTACTCATAACTTAGTTTGATTTAACCTTAACCTAACTTTCCCATAACTTGATTTCACTCTATTCTAGCTTAGGTTAACCAAGTTTCCCATTACATAGCTTTACAGATCCCTAACCTTGCTTAACATAACCTAGCTTACATTAGATCTAACTTTACCCACTTTTGCCTCGACTACTTTTACCCTAACTTAACCTAACTAAAGTTTATAATTAGCGAGTTTAGAATGATATCTAAGAGCTCTGACGGGACTTGTTAAACACTTTGCTGTTAGTTTAATGTTTCATACTCATCGTTATCATCCATACCCACCATCACCATACACCATCATTCACCATCAACAACTCTCACCATCTACTTCACCATCACTCACCATTACAGTCACCATCACTCACCATAACTCTCACCACTCACCACCACCATCACTGAACATCACCACCATCACTAACATCACTCACCACCACCATCATTCACCACCACCACTACTATCACCTACTACCACTTACCACCACTACCACTCATCACAAACTGTCACACCATCATCCAACAACACCACTATCACTACTCATTGCCACCATCACTCACCATCACCCACCACCACCACCACCACCACCACCACCACCACCACCGCCACCACCACCACCACCGCCTCCACCACCACACCATCGCCACCACCACCACCACCGCCACCACCGCCACCACCACCACCACCACCACCACCACCACCACCACCACCACCACCACCACCGGCCACCACCACCACCACCACCACACCACCACCACCACCACCACCATCACTCACCACCACAATCACTCCACCACCACCACTGCCACCACCCACTATAAATCTACACACTTTCAATTAGGTTGCAAGGTGTCATGCCTGCGCAGTTAAGAACCACCTTGGAGGAAGAGGACCCAGAAGAACCCGACTCTGACTGCGGCAGGATGGAGATTCATAGTTCTCCCGACCACCACTCACCTGGCAGAACCTCAGGTGAGTTCTACCTCTCCCACGTTCACCACTCACCTGGCAGAACCTCAGGTGAGTTCTACCTCTTGCACGTCCACCACTCACCTGGCAGAACCTCAGGTGAGTTCTACCTCTCCCACGGCCACCACTCACCTGGCAGAACCTCAGGTGAGTTCTACCTCTCCCACGTCCACCACTCACCTGGCAGAACCTCAGGTGAGTTCTACCTCTCCCACGTCCACCACTCACCTGGCAGAACCTCAGGTGAGTTCTACCTCTCCCACGGCCACCACTCACCTGGTAGAACCTCAGGAAAGTCTTGCCTCACTCCACCACTTTCCCAGAAAGATGTTAAGAAGTGTTGGTATAGAGGATAATTTTATGAATGGAATTAAGTTAATTACATTTAGCAGATGGATTCTTTACGTTTGTTCATCTAAATGTTTGAATACTCGAATATTAAACCCACCACCCCTGTGACTTGGTGATCGAACCCCAGTGCTCTGAGATCTGCCCTATAAACAGGTCATAACTCTTGCATTCAATGGAGGTGTAAATAAACCCTCTCTTTTCACAGTGCCGAGTTGTATATAAGACATACCATAGATACACTAATAAGCACGAGAGTAAACCCCAAAGGAGGCAGGTAGTGTGCACTGACGATATACACAAGCGAGCTCTCATATTATTATGGTTATTTGTTCTCTCTTTTTTTTAATATACAGCAAATATTGTAACCTGAAATCAAATGGTATATGCAGTAGGGTGTGTCATAGGAGGGAAGATCAGCTAAAACTAATGGCCCATCACTTTTTTGGTAGATTTTAGTGTATATAAACAGAAAATAATTTCAGTTTCAATATTTTGCAACCTTTTGCTTGGTAAATTTTAGCGTGAAATTTATCGAAAATCTAACGTACAGCTGCATTAGTGCATTGCACTAACAGAACATTGCTTTCTGACTTCTTATCTTTAACAACCCATCCAATAATATTTTTTTCTGTTTCAGACTTGATGATTATAAGTTGATAATATTTAAGGGATGGCTGCTGTGTCAGGACGAGGGAACCAAAATCCAGCCATCTCAGTCACTATCTTGGGTCTGGGAGAGAGCTCTGACGTCGGAGTTAATACATTGAGAGATGCTTTTGAGATAATGTGTGTTTTAACTAGGTAACCAGTGAAAGAACCAAAGAATTTACACAAACAAAGATATTGCCAGTGATATGACCAAAGTTTTTGTTCTAAGTAATAGTACACTCTGCTAATGCTCAGTTCAAGCCTCCAGTCATAACAAGTCGTATATGATTATGAGAGATCAAGCAGCTGTTGGGAAAAGGCAAGAGATATCTCTCTTGGGAGAGGAAAACTTGCAGTTAAGGACAGCTTTGCCAAGCAACTGGACCAGTTATTTGACATAATTACTTGCAAGTGCCCAATTGTTCTCTGTCCTGAGTTTGGATGCGATCGTGACTGTAAATCCGAGGCCCGGGAATGGGACAACTGGCCGCCGCCATCTGGCCGCCGCGGACTGGGGGTAAACTGCAAACGCCTAATTTTGCGCTCTCAAGGCAGGTTAGGTTAGGTTAGGTTAGGTTAGGTACTTCATGGGCTGCGGCCAGATGGCGGCGGCCAGTTGTCCTAGACCCCTGAGGCCCACATCTCCTGTATTTGCAAGCGTGAACTGAAGATTCCTGTGATCGAACTGGCATTTGTCAAAGCACAGAGAGAGAAGACTGGCAGTATAGGGGCTCTCATGATTTCTAGCCAAGATATTCCGGAGTCCAAGAGACAGGAGGCTGCCACAGAGAGACAGAAGAGTTGCCGAGGAAAAGAGACTTGAGAAGGCCCAGGGTGAGGTAAAAAAGGCCGATGATTGGAGTCAAGCTGATTCAGAGTTTAATGACTTCCCCATGGCTGATCCGAGTGCTGACCAGGAGAATGGTGACTTTGTCCCTAACCCAGAAAATAATGATCCCAAACCTTCCAGGCATAAGATTCGAAATAGGAAAGATATCCCGAGCATAGCTCTGGCCAGCATGCGACACCACACTGGTCTCACAGAAACTGCAGAGATAGCAACAGCTGCTTGGATTGACGGTGGTTTGATAACACCTGATGATGTTCACCTGGTGATAGATCATAACAAAGTAAGGAGAGCTCAGGAGAAACTTGTCAGTAACCTAGAAGAGGAGTTTGATAAGGGGATAAGAGAAAATGGAATCAATTGTTTGTTCTTTGATGGGAGAAGGGATGACACTAAAGTGTTCATGAAAGGTGGAGATTCTGACAAGTTGTTCCCTGCCATGGTGAAGGAGGAACACTACTCCTGCTGCAGTGAACCAGGAGGGAAGTATTTGTGGCATTTCACTCCAGAGAAAGATGACATCAGGAAACCAGCTGAGATAGTGGCAGATAACATTGTGAACTGGCTCAGAGAGAGGAACGTAGACCAGACCCTGCAGGCCATTGGAGGGGACAGCACCAACACGAACACAGGGTAGCAAGGGGGGGTCATACAGTGGATAGAGCGGAAGATTGGGAGGAACCTGGTCTGGATTGTTTGTGACCTCCACACCAACGAGTTGCCACTCAGACATCTGATCCAGGAGCTGGATGGCAAGACTCTTTCAAACAACAGATGGTCTGGTCCTCTTGGCAAGATGCTGGACTCTGCCACTGAGTAAATTTTAACTTGAAATCTTATGAAAATTCAGTATTCCCACCCTTTTACCAACACCACTAAATAGCTTATTTAAAGTAAAGTAAATGTATTAGGTTAATTTATTAGGATGAAAATGATCCAGAATAGTGAAACGAATGATCTTGACACATTTATTAAA